GCACAATGCGATTACAAATTGGAAACTCTTTTAGCTCCATCGCATCTGATCGCATTTCGTCACATCTTCTGATTTGATCTCTCTCAAGCACATGCGTAATGGCAAATTGATGGTCTTTTGTTTGCACTCACATTCCGATCCAAGAGTTTGGTGAATATTTTTTCGCCCTTTTATTTTTGCTGTGCTTTCATTTGTTTATTTTTGGGCTGAGCTTTCAATCGCCATCGATGAATTGACAAAATGCTTGAGATAAGTGTTTTTTTGTTTTTGTTTTTATTTTTATTTCTGATGATCCGTTTTGTTAACATTATTCTTATGTACAAAATACGACAATGGGTCGGTTATTATATAACAAAATACTTGCTTTTCTTTGGGCGAGGATTCATGATGTACGCTCTTTTTCCCACTGTTTCCACTCAGTATAATGCTTTTGTAAGAGCCTCTTGCGTATAACTATTGCTAAGTAAAACTAAATTTGTGGTTATAATATCAATTAATTTTGGGATATTGAGCCCGATGAAACACTTTTTGCTTCCCGATTTATAACCAGCAAAGCGGGTCGGGCGGGCTCTCATTGCAATAAGCATGTATGGTCTAATTAGGCAAAAGCTTTAGCTGATAGCTGCAGGTAGTTCTGTTTTACTGTGAACTGCCGTGCTTTCTAAACGCTGAAGTGATTTTCGGTCGAGCTCTTCCTCCAGTTTGCGGAACAACTTTTCTCCCAGTCAGAAATTCATTTGGAAGGTTTGAAATTCTCTACTGACGGGCGACCACAATTAGAAAAGTTAATTTTCTACAATTTTGGATATTGGTTGAACAAGGACTCGAATACACTTTCCAACGTCCGTCATCGCAGCCACACCTTTTTTTTTGCACAGACTTTGTAAGACTCATTGGGGGTCTCTAAAATGAATAAACCGGTGCTGCGTTGAAGCTTTTTAGCAATCATCTAAGGCTCTGTACAATTTTGCTACTTCATATCGTACAAAGCTTGAGGCGAAAATTGAAGTTCCGAAGTTTAAAATCCGTTGAGACTGAGAAGACTCTTATGAGCCACCTACTTTGGGATGGCAGAATGTGGATTGCTGAATTTAAAAAATTTTAATTTATTTATAATTCCTTTCTTCATGCCACTTTGGCTTACCCCATTTGTGGAGTCACTCTGCCATTCAAAGCTCGCTGTTTTAAAGCGAATTTCAAAATTCTACCATCAATTTTCGCGCTTCTCAAACGCGTTGAGGTAATCTGATAAGCGACAACAACTACACTACCAACCAACTAACCAACCCACAATTTTCTGCTCCAATTCTGAAACCTTTTTGTTTCGTCTCATTCTGACTTTACACTTGTAGCGTGTCTACGGCGACGGGTGTGTCTGTGTTTGTCGATCTTCGGCGCTTAGTGAGATAGTTTGATGTTAAAATCGGCTAAAGTGGCTTAAAGCAAGATTTATTACACGGCAAGCGCCAATTTGCATTTTGAATTAACGCGCGCCGTTGAGCAGCAAACAAATTGTGCCTTCATGTTGCACATGGCAAGCGAGACAGATTGAGGCGGACGGCATACGTGTACGGTGTGTGTGGTAGCCTAGTTCGACCACGCTGAGCTTACTGGAACAGATGCGGCGTTAGCGATAAAGAGCCGGACTCGGCGGCGAGAACTCCACCCACCCACATTAGCTGCGGAGCCATTGAGGTACTTATTTGAGTGGCACTTACTGTGGCAAGATGTTCGAGGATTACTGAGCGAGCGCTGATTACAAATTGCAAATTACAAGTTAAGTGTGGCATATTTGCATGCGGTAGCGGCTTGTTGTAGCAACTTCATAGAATGTAGGCGACTAGTGTGGCAAGTGGATTATCTTGCCACAAATGAAATTGCCTCAGTAGCGATGCATTGAGTAAATAGAAGTGTGAGCTTCGAAAAACAACTGAGCTTATTCTTGACGGCAGCTGCGTGTTCAGCAGAAGTGTTTGGCGCACCACGGTAGCAGAACACATGTAGCAATCTGTACGTCTGCCAAAGTGCATGATGACTTTTGTTTTTATTTTGTTTTTTTTTTCTGTCTGTTTGTTGGCTGCCTCTTGCCATTAGCACGCAGCAACTGTTGCACGTCGTGAGCGAGCTTTGATGAAATCGACAAAAGACGACTGCCGACACAATGGTGAGTTGGGTTGAGTATGTCGTGCGCACACACTTCTAACTTAAAAACACATATGGAAGATTCATTACATGAAAAATCGCATAGAAATAAAATAAAATATTAAAATGTTTTTCTCTTTATTCAAATAAACAATATCACTACTCACATTACTTCAGACTGGACAACGCAGAACGGTTGCAGGCGACGGCAGAATCGTTCATCACCAGGTGCTGATTTTGACTGAGTAGGTGACTTTTTAGTAAAGGACTCTCTCGACGAAGAAAGACCAAGTCCTATACATCGTTAATTATTTCCATTGCTGTTATTGTAGGTACATCAGCCCGCTTTGAAGTAGGTGGGAGGTCCAGGAACTAGTTATTTCGAACCGTTCGGAGCAGAGGGAAAGTGGGTTTATATGAGTAAGTTTCAGTATTACTTCTGTTTATAGAGGCAGCTCGGGCCCTCCGTCTGCAATAAATAGTGCTTCGATTCCGTGAAGGCTATTCATCGAGAAGGTGTTGACAGGCTCTCAATAAATGACGTTTAAAGCGAGTCGATACGCTTTACTGTCCAGCTATTTTTGTTTGTCGTGATCAATACAGCCAGTGTAGTCTAGTCCCGACTGTAACATCCCAGCAGATAAAGCTTTCGCAGCATAACATTATGTTCCTTAACTCGTAGCATAGATGTTTCACTACGCAAGTTACGCTCCGGTGACAACAGAAGAATTCCTGTCACGGTCTTTAAGGCGATGTTTTGACACACTTAAAGCTTTGTTTTTCCCCCAGCCACTGCCGGCTAACGAATTGAAGATTTTGTTGCAGCTCTGTACTTTAGTGGCAATTGCAGTCGCATGCGGAGTGAAGGCGTACTAGCTGTCGAATGTGACTAAGCAATCTAACCCCGTTTAGATCATTCTTCCCGTCATCCTGTATGGTAGCTCGTATAACAACTTCTGATGTATAGGCTTTAGGGGTTTGTCAAAAATTTATGAACCCTTGCGTTCAAAGTCTCATCTATTTCAAAATAAATAAATAATAATAAAGCTCAGTAATACACGCAAACATTAAAAGAGCAGCTCAATATAATTATTGGTTTTTAAATGGAAAAATGTATGTATGTATGCATGCCTCAGTGTTTTAAGAAAGCTGACACTTCGACAGCTTCTTAATTTTTTCCAATGAATTCCAATCTATTTTTGACAGTCATTACAGTAAAAGTAAAATGATAATGGTTATTTCATTACCAAATGGGCATGTGCAGCTTACACTTCTTTCTTTTTTGAATTTCTGCACATTCAGACAACTTTCGAGCAACGCAGACCTTGCTAAAGCGCTACGCGTGCGCAAAAATAAAATGTTGTTTTTATACCAAAAATTTGAATTTGTTATTACAGTTAATAATTAAATGTTGTTAAACGCATGAGTTTCAAACAAAAAAAAAAAGTGAAGTAATTTAAAGAAAGCTTTGAAAATTTAAAATAAATAATAGAAAGTCTGTAAAAAGTAACAGCCGGTTGCGGAGATTATCACATTTTCCATACAAATGAAAATTATTATTCATTGTTTGACATTTTTGGTTTTTCTTATATTTGTTAATAAACAAAAATTATTTTCACCGTCATCATAACCTAACTTTGTAAAACTAAATGAAAAATCGAATCATTTAAATTGAAGAGGTAGCGCCTCGATTAGTCGACCAACAGTCAAATCATTTTGCTAACGAATAGCGTTAGGTGTTGCTCGCGGGCATTTCAAGCGCTTCATTTTGCACATTGCGCGTCCGCTGATTGATGAAATCGCAAACTCGCCAGCTCTGGTTTATTTTTATTTAATAGCCCCATTATTAATAGACAAAATATTTTCTTTACCGTAACTTTCGTTGCCAAAATATATTGGTGAAGTGGCGTTATGTGCAAAGTCTTTTGTTTTTCATTGATTTATGACATTTTAATGTGTCTGGGGAGAGCTCAGAAGTGCGTTCGAAAATACCTCACAGCAATAGACAGTTATAATATTATTAAGCGTCTATGTATTCCAATGAATTCCAATGTATGTATGCATATCTGTAGCTATGCAATTTTTTCGCTCACTAAATACACGATATTTAGTTTATAACAAGAGTTGATGGACAGGTGAACTGCATTCAGGATTTTGTCCAACGATCGGTCTGTACTAACTTTCATAGCTTAGTTAAGTATACCTTTCAGTTCAATCCCCTGTGTTGAATAATGCCTACAGATACTTGCCTCCAGTCATTTGAGATAAGCCATACCCGTCGTAAGAGGCCAATGCAATCGAATAGTTTCCGAGACAGTCAGGTGATTATATCCCAACGGCTGGTATCCATTCAAGGACTGTCACTCCCATAGCATTCCCAAAAACCCAATTTAGAAAATAATTTTTGTGGTTACATGTTACATTATATTATTTTTCTTTATCAAGCCTTATATTTTTTGCTGAACCTTGTACGCCAAATTCAGCTCATAACGTGAGCATATATAAATTTAAGTGGTTTACAAATTACGTTTGGTGAGTCTGCAAATATTAGGCTCGTCTCTTAGATATTCCTCATTCTTCTTCTTTTAACTGTTAATTATCGAGCAATTGACTACGCTGGCAAGGTCATGTCGTCCGAATGGATGAAAGCACTCCAGCTTTGAAAGTATTCGATGGTGGACGCGGTGCCAACGCCAATAAAATAGAAGAATTTGTTAACTATCGAACATAGTATAATATGATTTTATTTCAATGTAAAATTTATTTGTATAAAATATTATTTTTATATACAAATGTAAATAGTTGCAATTCATATTATTTTTACACGTAATTAAATTTAAAATTATATGTACTACCGCTAATACAAATTATTTTATGTATGGTTTGTGTAAGTATGTACGAGTATATCAGTATTGTATTTGTATTATATAATAGCAAAGCTTTTTTAATGATATGACTATTTGCTTATAAGTGGGAAATTCAATAACTGATTTTTATATAAAATTCCATTCTAAATATAACATTTGCGAATTGGAAATTAATTATTTGAATTATTTTGTTCTTTTTTTTATGGAGAAAAGTACAAAAGCAAATTCAAATGTTTTGATTTTGAATTTCTTTAAATATACACGTAATATATTTCAATCTGACGGCTTAGAAATATTGGAATATGTGCGATAATTGATTAATGCAAATCCGGTGGCTTAAGCGCGCTGTTTTGGTAAAACATTTCCACATCAAATCTTTCCACTACCAAAATCCTTAATTTTCAACAATTCACATGAGAATTTAAATAACTGCTCACATTTCTCCGGATTCTTTGCATCACGATGAATTTGACCGAGTCCACCATTGCTTAGATAGCTGCCACCCCTGCCCTCGACTTGCGCATCGATGGCAGCAAAGACAACTGTGCGTGACCCCTGCTCAGGTGTTTTGAATACCAGTTTTTTCACGAATGGCACAGCCGTGGTGGCACTATGCTCAAACAGATCGGTGTCCACAATGCCCGGGTGCACAGCATTAACCTGAACATGCGCCGATTCCGCGTCTAGTATAGCTTGTAAATGGCGCGTGGAGAGTACTTGTGCCAATTTTGACTGACTATATGCTGTGCCGGGATAATACAATTTGCTGTCGATAGAAAGTGTGTTGCATTAAAATTTAAAATATATACAAATTGAGTCTATATTATGCACGTACAGTCCATTTATGTCTTTATAATTAATGCGGCCAATTAGATGCGCACACGAAGAGATATTGACGATGCGCGAATTCTGACCTTCTTTACCCGCAGCTTTCAGTTCGGGCATCAACAGGTGGGTTAGGAGGAAGTGGCCCAAATAGTTGGTAGCGAAGTGAGATTCATAGCCATCAGCGGTTAGCTTGAAGGGTGCAAACATGATGCCAGCTGTGAAGGTGGTAGTTGTAAAAGTAATTAATAATAATAAAAATAAATAAAATAATAACTACAAAAAAGCTCATTATTTTAGAATTGACATATCTGTTCATCTTCTGGTGCTAACGTAACTGATCGGAGCTTATATACTATTTATATGTATTTATAAAAGGTAACAAAAACTCAAATTATCTCCGAAATACTCACCATTGTTTATTAGCAAATCAATTTTATTGAACTGCGCTTTAACTTTATCTGCAAACTCCTTAACAGACGTCAAGTCACCAATGTCAAGCGCTTCGCATATGAGCTTACCACCACTCGATGCAAGATCAACAACGGAAGTAACTGCAGCTTCAGCGCTTTTGGGATCACGCACACCTGGAAACATAATTAAAAATTAATTTGAGACAGAAACCAATATATTTTTGGTGACGCCTGAATGTATGCAATGCTGAACTGCGCTGCAGCTATGTTCAATACATATAACATAAATTTCTAGCATAGTTTCAGGGGCTTTTATACAATCTAATATAACACCATTATTGCAATATTTTTGTTTTTGTTTTTACAGAAAATTCTAACTTAACAATTGTAATATAAACTACAAATTCTTTATTTTTTGCTTAACAAAGTTCATTGACTGCAATTCAAGAATATTGACAGCGGTAGACAGGCTGAAGTGATTAAAAATCGTTGCACGCTTACAAAATAAATTATGCAATATTTGATCGGTACTGATTGATGAATGCCTGTTGCAAATATAATATATATATATACATGAATGTATGTATAAATGTATGTGTGTAGTATCAGCAGTTTAAAAAGCAAGGACGCTTAGAACGTATCCAATAAATTTGCACGAAAAAAGGTGCACGTGAATCGGCATACACACATGTACATTCATATATCTAAATATTCAATATTTAACTCACGTAGAAAAGAAATCTTGGACGCATTAAACAGTGAAATTTTTTGATTTTAAATTTTTACGCAGATTTGTAACACAACACAAAGTTTATATGTATATCAGAGCAGCGTACCAATGTAAGGACGTTATTCCGCATTACTGAATAATTCTACAAGGCTTGCATTTTGGCGGATGATACAGCCGATGTGGTCTGTTTTCTACATATTCCATCAGCAATTTTCAGTGTCTTACAAACTTACCCAATATAACAGTTATATCACAAGCCAAGAGTTTCTCTGCAACTCGAAGTCCAATGCCACGGTTGCCGCCCGTAATCACAGCTACCCGCCCAGGTTGTTTATAAAGCGCTAAATTAAAAAAAAAAAGAAACATATTAAACGCATAAGTGGAATTGAGGGTAAAATAAATAAATTAACCAACTGCAAACATAGTTGAGTAAAGAACAGCAATTATATTAATTAAATTTAATTACCACTACTGCACTAAGTGCATACATACAATAAACACTCACCAACACGATCGCGTGATCGATACATGAAATCGTGTATGAGGCCCACTATGCCGATATATTGATAGCGTATCTCCGTTTTCAGTTCATACCAATTTTTCGGCATCTCCTTGGACGTTTTGGCAAAATAAAAGCCACAGAAAACTAATAAAAGCGAGGAAGCGCTAATAACTAAGGTTAACATTTTGGACGGATCTGTACAGTTCGTGGAGTTGGGTAGTGAAAGACCTGTAATTAGAAGAGAATAAGTGTAATGAAGTATATATGTATGTATGTGTATGATGTGATAAGCGATAAGCTGTACAGAATGCGTTGACTGATAAGTTTCACATTGTGACGCCAGGCGAGCAAAGTTCACCTGCACTAACGCAGAGAGCGTGGAAGATTGCAAAATATCAAACTATCGCTAAGAGAGTGGCGTATAGATATACATATGTACGCATAACATTTTTGCGTGGCATATTGCATGGGACAGAGATTGAATTTGATTTAAACTTGCCTCTCCACCCATCTAAAGTATATCTATCTCATTGAACCATCACAGGGCCACTGTGGTGTAAAATAGCCAAGATTTATTTAACAGTAAGTTTAATATGTTGAGAAACTATTCTAATTTTTGGAGATTTGCTAGCCTTCACATATATAAAATAATAAAAATGTAAATATATTTATTTTTTCGTTTGAGGGGATTTTTTGCGATCAAACGTAGTCCCGAGCACTTCCTACTTCTAAGTAGACTGGTTTCAAAATTCAAAATTTGCATATTCTTTCATTGCTAATATGCGCTTAAACAAAACAAATATTGCAAAAAAGACGATCCAACCTGTTTGGTGGTTTACGAAAAAAAAAACATCTGGTGTGACAACTGATAGCAACTGATTGAATTTATTATAAATTCTTGAAAATTATGCCTATAGCGTTTTTGTACATGAAATAATAATTTCTGGCAAATCTTTAAGCCTGGCCCTGTTGGAAAAACTTTGGAATTTTTGATTGTTTTTTCTCTCACTCCAGCATTTGATTATATAAGACACAGAGTTTAGACTGTTTTCGTGTTAAAAATCTTTCGCTGTTTGTTGTTTTTCTTTATAGAAATTTCATGCTTCCTAGCGTTTCTTCGCTTCAGTAAAATCGTTTATTTATTCATTTTTAATTTTTTATTTTTTTCATTTTTTTAAAAGCTCAGAAGAGCATTTTAAATTGTTTTACTGTCCTCTGTGTGCACTTCTTCGTTGACATTGTCATTGCACTTTCTGAATTTGTGTACCAACAACGGTTTCGGGTCTCGATAATCGGTAAAAGTATTTATATATTTGCAAAGCCATTTGCACAGAGTGTTTGCAACATTTCTACTAAATTCAAGTAGATTGTTATATTTGTATGTGCATACAATAGTTATGTATGTACAGTTATACAATGAGCTTTGAAGCATTTGTGCATGCATTATTCGCTCTCGACGTAGATGTATAAATATTTTGAAGAAAAGCAAATAATAGTATTGTTTGCTGTTATGCATGTATTGGTACCTGGCATAACGGTTTTGGGCTATTGAAATAGCAAATATTCCATTTAAATTCTCGAAATAATGAATAGCAATAATGCTATTCACTTTGTCGCACGGGACTATTAAACGCACGCACTTTATTCGTGATCAACTATTTAGCTGAAATTTCTAGGAAAATTTCATTGCGATTTATTTTGGTGTCATATTCTAATTACTGTCGAACGGGACATATTTCATTTAATGGCATTTTCATAATTTCTATTGCTTTAAGAAAATACTTGGTAGAGTTTAAATCCACCGAACTTCTTCAATTAAACAGACAAACGCTTTTTCTAATAAAATAATAGAAATTCCCTTTTTAGGTTATGAGCCTTACATGGGACGCAATGCATTATTTACATTACATCGGATGCATTTAATGAGTTTACATCATTTTAAGTTTTGAGGCATGAACTTTAAACGTTGCTTTACACAAGAAAGTATTCAAACAATGTGAAATTTGTATATCTGGAAATATTTTACCTTCTTATTATATATATGTATGTATTTGTACATATGTATGTATGTATATGTATATATATAATTTCGTATCTTTTGTTGCAAATCCATGTTTTTTTGCTGTGCTTTCTTTAACCAAGTTGACTTCACGGTTGCTTAAATTGCACCTAACTAATAGGTGTTAATTTACTACCGCCAAAAAGTCAACAAATAACCGCGCATACACATACTCGTATGTATGTATTATATGTATATTTTATATGTACATTAGGAGTTTTTTGACACTGCGCGAGAAAGGTTTTTACACTTAAAATGAACAAGATAAAAAATTCTACAAAGTAATAGTTTATATATTTAATTACAAAGGTAAGTGAGTATAAAAAACCTAGGAATGACGTAGGTATTCGAGACAAAAATAAATCTTACAAACATCTTTTTATGATGATGTTTAGGGCGTTGGATGATTTAAATTAACATCGGATTGCCATTCAATAGGAAAAATATATACAAAATAAAATCAAACAATGACCTTTATCAAATAGATTTATTAGAGATAAATTAAATTTACTTTACATGCGAACTGGCTTTCTTGAGGCCCACATATTTAACTTGAAATGCATCGACAAGAGAGAAACTGCATTACAAAAAATGTTGTATATTTAAAATTTTATGTCTAAATATAGCACAAACTAAAATTAATTAAAAATTGAAAAACATGCTTATGTACATACGTAAATGTATGTATACAAGTGAGCTGTTTAAAAGCTACTAGACCTGCTGCCAAATAAAAGTGACCTTAGACAAGTTTCCCTTTGCCTTAACTTGCATTAAGTTGTTCACCGTGACGGCCCTAAAATGTAGACCTGGTTGGTAGACAACAAAAAAATGCAACTAATTTTATTCACTTAAACAGAGAAATCAACAAAAACTACAGAAATAACCATTGAACGCCAATAAATAAATGCAAATAAGCCAAAGAAGAAAGTTAAAAAGAATACCACAAACGAATTGTAGACTTGGAAAGGAGAAATATAAAACGTTTAAAGCTCAAATAACAGCTGTAGGGGCAAGAAAATACTTATTTCTCACTATACAAATCTACATACATACATGTACATATATGCACATATGTATTTCGTACAAATTTGCTGAATGTTATTCAAAAGAAAATGTAAATTTCAGTTATGATGACATATGGCCGAAAGATTATACGTACATATGTATGTATGTATGTAAATATATTGGAGTCAATGGGTATGTTAATAAAGCGACAAACAAATTAATGCTGACAACAATCATTGGCTGAGTGCCAACAAAAGTTACAGGTAAAAGAGAGTTTTAGAATATATCTAAAGATCTTCATACAGTTATACTCCGCTTTAAAGAGTCGTAATCTGTACATTTATAAGTAAGAATTCACCGAACGCGATTAGGTAAAAATTGGTAATTATTAATACCGCTCATCAACTTACCGAACAGAACTATTATCAAAACATACCCCCCGCGGGTTAGGGGCTCAAGAATTTACCCGCGGTAAGGTATGCCTGTCGTAAGAGGCGACTAAAATCCAATAGCTCCCGCGACAGTCGTGATTTTTATCCGGCCAAGGACTGTCACCCCCGCAACATTCCCGAAAAAGTACTTTGGGTAATAATTTTGCGGTTACAACAACAACATTATCAAAACATTTTGTCATATAACAAAATTAGCAATGGGCAAGATGAAACATTTTTTTTATTAAGAAATTTTTATAACTATCGCCTTTACTTAAATTGCAATTTAGACGTTATGTCAGGGTTCTATTAAAAGACTTTCGCCTGTACAGCAGACATTTGTTCACAAAGAAATTTCGTTTGGAAATTTTTCTTATAAACGAGTTCTACTGTAGTACAGAAAATACTCAAAGTTCATTGGCAGTGATTGAAAAAAGAGTTAAGAAATCTAATAGGCAACTCATACCGATTTGAAATAACGAACGATGAGCACATACATAATCGTATAAAAGCATATAAATAACTGGTTAGGGACAGGAAGTAGTCAGATTTTCATATTGTTTATAATAAATTCATGTATGTATATATTTCATTAAGTATATTTGCTCATATAGTATTATAAAAGGGATTTTTCATAAACCGCGTGGTCATATTCTAAGCTTCATATGGCCTAACCTGGCCTGTGCTTTGACCCTTCCATCGCCGGCCAGCTAGAACATGGGTATTGTTTCATGCCTTTCCTCTCTTACTACATATTTATTAAAAGATATTTTATTATTATTATAAATTTAGTAATATAATCATTGATTATTGATTATAATTAACAAGCTAAAATCTTATAGTAAATAATGTTATTTTTTTATGTTTTATGTGAAGAAAACTACGTAGCTTTGCTCTTACCTCCGCCACATTTAATGCAACCCCTCCCCTTTCTTGGCCGAGCTATGTACATAGTTTACAGACGTTCTCTAAGCTTTGGCTTTATATACATTTTTATTTTACTTTCCACAAAACATAATCTTTTAGGATTTTAAGAAAAAGCGGCAGGCAAAATACTATAAAAACTTTTAGGGAATTCACTTGAGTGGCATTTGATATGAAGAAGCAGCTCTTAAGCGCGTGCGCTTAAACTGATAAGCCGAACTTGTGGGTAAGTAAAACCCAACAAATACAAATATGTGTTTAGGTAGACAATAATACAAGTTAACATACCAACCTACTTACATATGCACATACTCATGCACGTGGCCCAAAAAAAAGCAAAAGCAGCAGTAACACCAATAAACTTTCTTTTTCCAAACTACACAACATATGTACATGCATACATATGTATATCTACTGATATACAAGCATGTGAATACCTTCGTGCCACTCAATTGGCTTTTGGTGACTACTTTTGGACATTTAAGAAATTCGACAGACGGAAACGAAACGAAATTCGTTTGTATGAAAAATTTCTTCACCGATGTTTTATGTTTTATTTAAACATTTTTTTACAATTTCTGCTTACCTTACTATGTATGTAGACAGTTTTTTATATTTGCCTGTTTTGAGATGAATATTATAGCTATTTTTAACGATTTTTCTATTAATTTTTTATTAAATGTTCATCTTTATGACCGCGTTTCTGTCAAGTCATCACAATTTTATTAATTATTGTGTAAATTGTTTCCCTCCAACGCTAAAACATTTATCACGTTAACACAATGTTTAAGTGGCCGCAACTACGTTTGTGTAAAATGTGCAAATGTTAACAGCGGCTGTTGACTAATAGAAAAAACTATGTTGCCTTTCCAATTACCACGGAAATACGATTGTTCGCTCCAATCACAACCGATCGTGGAGAAACTCAAAATATGACTAATCCCTTAACGTTGCCGGCATGTGAAGCAATAACTGAGAGTGAAGACATCATATGTTGCTGGGAGCTATTTCTCCAACAAAAGCGATAAAGTTTGGCGGCGTATTGGTTTTAAATATTTTGTGATCCACGCTAGAGTGGAATGTTTCTCAGATAATCAACACAATGGAACTTACCAAAATTTGACCCTTATCTCTAGAGGTTTTTGTTTTTTTCTAATTTTAGGAGTATTCATAAGTTTATCTTATAAATTTCAGCACAATAAAAATTAAACTTTATTCACTCATTTTTAATAAACAAACTCTCAATTTGCCGACGTAAACAAGAACTTGCTTGAGTCAGCTGTGTGCAGTCAGCTGATAAAAGATGAGTGTAGCCATTTGCTGCAAATATCTCACGGAAAAAGAGAGATTTTATTTAGTGGATTTTATTGAGGATTTTGAGTGATGTAATACTTGAATATCAAGTCAATAAATAAAAGTCCGTTAAATTTAATTTTAGAACAAGTTTATAGTAAGAGTACAGTAAATTAAATGATACACATAAGTTAATATTATAAGCAAAATGAAGTGAAATAAAATAAATCAGTAAAAGTAACTTAGAAAAAAATAATAAATTGAAATAAAACATTTAAATTAGAACATTTCTAAGCGTCCAACTATTTTTCTTGCATATGAAAAGAGTACTTTGCAGTTGCTTTTCCAAGCCGCTAGGGAATAGACACCTTATTGGCCTTTTTTAAAACCAGGAAATGGAAATGGAAAGACTATAATCAGAGGTTTCTTTTATTAAATAAATACTGTAGCTCCCTTGAGCTCCTCAGTGTATTGTAGTTTCAGGCAAAACAATGCTTTACTGATAAGCGTCAAAATTCGCAGCGTTCGGTGCTCAACATTAAGATTTATCTGAACTCTTTGGAAATTATGAGGCACTTCGAGCACTTAACGCCACTAATTCGAATAGTTGCTCTTGGGCGTTCGCTGCGAAAAGTTTAAAGAATATTAAATATAAAGTTACGATTAACAGAAATCCTCTGCAAACATAAGAATGCAGTTACATAACTTATATAAAAATTTAGTTTTGAAAATATTGCTACCACCGTTATTTTTCTTACAACACATCACAGCGAATAAATACAATGTCTCTATGGCACAAATGGATACCTGCAAGGAATTTCGTATAGGAAGCACCGGATATGCTTATACGCATTTCTTTCACATCCATCGCTTGGACAACAACAAAGTGAATGCAAATGAACGGCTACATTTGAAATTTTACGTGTTGGCACCAATGGATGCGCATATCTTGTTGGCGACCACTGACAGACCCAGCATAAGGGACCGTGTCTATGAAGTGGGTACGTAAAGAGATAATTGTGCTTGTAAATTATATAAATTATTTAAATAGTTGTGTGTATGTATAACAAAGAATAATGAATGAAAAGCCAACTTTGTCTTGTTGTTGTATTTTTATCAGTAATTGGCGCCGGTAAAAATTCCTTCTCCACCATACGTATCCGCATGGGTTCTAATCGCATGTCCACAAGCACGGAACCAGGAATTTTAGCAATGTACGATCCGACGCCCATAGAAATTATACAAACGAAGGGTATGTACACATGTGTATCTATTGTACATACATACTTACATGCATATCTGAGTAAGCACGAAGGAGTGGCATTGTGAAAATGCCTTTAGTATGGACAAAAAAAAACTAAATATGTACATATGTACAGATGCAAATGTACACATTAGGGAGATCTATGAAAAATTCTCTTATCTGACAACAGTATATGTTCTTTTTATAATTTGTTGAGCTGTTTTTGAATAGCTTATGATTCATCGGACGTTGCTAACGCATTTTATTTTAATTTGAAAAACATTAATTTTTAAAATTAAATGGTGGCCTTAATTATTTGCCCCATTTGAAAAAATAATGGTTTCTTTTTATTTTGTGATCTATGCGAAAATTAGATTTCTGTATCCTTTTTTGGATCACCCTAACATAAATTAAGCCGCTGATAACTCGAGTGAGGTCAAAACTTATCTTAACATTAACTCATTCACTCTCGTACTTAACTTTGTACATTTGTGAATGCGTGTATTCCTTTTTACCGCAGATGGCACACTTTCCGTTTATATACCGGGCTATAAAAAGGAACCCCTGTTAAATTACACCGATCCAGAAGCTTTGGAACTTAACTATCTCAGCTTCAGCAGTTTTGGCTTGGCAACGGCGAAATGGTATTACGACTGCCAATTTGATGGTTTCGGTGAGTTTTATAGCCATTCTTGCGAACATAAGTAATTTTACATACATACATATGTACATGGATGGATGGATGGCTCTTAAAATAAAAATTTCGCTTCTTACAGCCGAGGAAATGGAAGAGGAAGTACATCAACTCGACGCGTATCACGCTTTGCTCGCCAATCTGACTAAGAAATCAGCGAATAAGTCCGTGCCCATGGACATCGAATCGGTTAATTTTGCATTTCAATTGAAATCAGTTGTTTATAATCACGAAAAGTCAATTCTACACACACGTTTGCATCTGACGTTGGTGAGTTGGTTGACATTGAAACGATATCGGGAAGTACTATTGAGTTATGTACATACAAACATATGTGCAAGTGTGTTTGTGCTTTATGAAAATTAAGATAAATACTCAGTTGCACACATTCGTAAATAAATTTGGATTTAGTTACTGAAATATACTCAAATATTTGTTGCTCATTTTGAGCTTTGCTGCTTTTTGGAAATCTACAAAGATTAAATTTTTCGATTATCTCGTTATTCTATAACTCTAGAACTGGCAGGACACGCGCCTCACTTGGAATGCCGATGAGAATGAAATTGCCGCCATTAGTTTTAGTTACAAAGATGCATTGGCGATGCTTTGGATACCTGATATGATAGTCCTAAAGTAAGCTGATTGCCATTGAGTTAAAATATGTAATACTCAAATATGAAAATCTCTATTTTCTTCCACAGCGCCGCCCATGGCAGTAATACACAGCATGAATCTGATATTGCTCTAGTGATCTATGCTAACGGTAGTATAACAATGGTCAATACTAATGCGGAATTTAGCACCTGGTGCGTTGATGCGAAACACAATTGGCCACACGAACGTCTAAATTGTGGTCTGCTCATGGGCTTGGAAACATTTTCGCCGTATAAGCATGAGCCGATCACTTTGAAATATGACAATACAGTGCCACTGCCTGTCGAACCGTTCAACATGTTGAGCGAGTGGCATTTTAGGCAGTTAAGTATAGCCGAGATTGTGAGTAACGATGACAAAACGAGTCGTTATAGCGCTAAAGCAATTGCGCGTACAATAAATGGTGATCTCTCGTTGGGTTTCACAATCGAACGAAATAGCGGGTTCTACAGGAATGTCTTTACGATGCCAATTTTAGGTAAAAATGCGAAAAATTTAAAAAACAAAAAAACCTAAAATATTCTAAAATATTTTTCTTGTATTTTTAGCTTGTGAAACTTTACTTGTGCTCTCATTCCTCCTACGCGGCTACCGACGCGGTGGTCTCATACTTGTCGTTGTCTTCGTGTTATCCTTGGGTTTCATGTTTGTTACGAGACATGCGCCGACCGCGTATATACCCAACATATGTGAGTTGCGTAGTAGTTTATTTACCTTTGTTTGCGTATCGAATATTGAAAATTGTTTTTTTTTTTTTTGCAGTGCATGCATATCGCCATGTGATGAGAACTGCGACCTTCTGTTATCTATTGCATGTGGCTCTAATGTGGCTGGAGCTTTATCCGCCTAAGGCGAAACCTTTCGATTGGATGCTGACTTTGATTAATGTTTCAGCTTTGAGATTGTTACTCTGCATGCGTTTGGTGGATGTAAGTTTGAATTCCCGAAAGCAAATTAATTTAAGAAAATGTGTGGAAGCTTGCGAAAAAAGCTCCAAGAGTGTGAAAGTTTAAGTGTTGTACTACAGGATTCTGTACTATTATGTGTTCAAAAGTGAAAGCTCAGGAGACCATGTACTAACAAAGTGTCGTGTGTTTATAGTGCTGTCCTTTGATTTTTGCCATCATCAGCTGATTCGAACAAATTAATTTGAGATTTGGAAAAAGTGCCAGCTGAATGCACGTTACAGCTTAATGTGTTTATTTATGTGCATTACTTTTTCAATGCTGGGTTTTTTTCTGTGTGACTGTAAAACAAAAGTTTAAAGTTTTGGGTGTTTCAATTGTGCTCTATCGTGGTACATTTCACAACCCAATCGAATTTCAAGTGCTCTTTAGCTTTTCACTCTAGGGAAGGCTTTCATTTTAAGTTTAATTTCACTCAATATTCAATTCAAGAAGTAAAAATCCAGCCTTTATTAATATTTTTATATTTATTTTAATAACCTGTTATCCTTGATATTAAATTTGATTCTCTTCATTTGCAGTGCGATCAATATGTAAGCATTCAGACACAACCTTGGCGTGAATTGGCGAAAATGATCAACAATTTCTGTTTTGTTATTGTCAGTGGCATTTTCATAATAATCGATATATTGCTGTTGCCAAACTTTTAAGCAAATAATTCACTAAAAAACGGATGCTATAAATTTACAAACATATGTATGTGAATTTTAGAAAATATTATTAAAATAAAATACTAACATTATAAGAATTTTTGTGGGCGAAGCTCTCACTAGATAAAGCTAAAGAAAAGCTATTTAATTGAGAGAGAGAAAAATTGAATTAATTCCCTTAGCTCTGCACTATTTCTATGGAATTGTATTAAAATTTATTGTCAATTAGTGAGCTCTTTTTATGTAATATTATGTAATTTTTCTTGCCTCCTCAGAGCTTTTTTTTTAACTCAAAAATCCGAAAATAACAATACGAGTACACGTAAATATATTTTTTAACGAAAAAAGTTCACATAGCATTTTATTTATTTTATTATAAAGAATATAAAAAGCAATTAATAAATAAAATATAATTTTGCAAAGTGTATATAACTGTAATTGAGTTTATATAGAATTGATCCTTGTATTTGCCACATTAGGAAATCCGTTTTGAGATATGAATGACGCCATTTTTGTTTTCATTGATTTCATTTACTTTTGCTTCATACTGCCGTTTGTGAACTTAATTTCCGATTTGCCATAATGAATATTTTTAAATTATGTTTCAAAATTATTTATTTATTTAGTTAAATACATTTGAAATAGAGATTAATGCAAATAATGAAGATTTTTCTCCAACTTCCTTATCGCTCTTTTATACACATATCTTCCTCTCTCTCTCTCATCTGTTGTCTTCATACATACGTACATATTTTTCATATGTGTATGAATGTGTTCATGTGCGGCTGCTTGCTGTCGTACTTGTTGTTTGTTGTTCTTGTTGTTGTTGTTCTTGTTGCTGTTGTTGTTATTATAAAACATTATTGTACAGATGAATACTGAGTTGTTGTTCTAATTGTCGACACATTTGTATGTAATTCATCTCTAACAACGGTAATAGTAATAATAATAATAATAAGAAATGCATTGTAAAGTGAAATCCCTTATGAGGATTTCTTAAGAGGGGAAAATATTATTTAGATCCTGTGGATCATAGAAAATCCTATTAAACCATTTAGTGACTACCAAAAGTATAATTAGAGCAAATTCTTAAAAGCATTAGACGCCTGCTGGCGACCCAACGCATAAACGTAAAGCCTGTTATCCATAATTCCATATATCCTTGCAACAATTATTATTTGTGAAGTTGATTTTTTCTTTGCTTTCGCTGAGTGCTTTTTCTGGCTGTTTTAATGTCCTTAGTGACCGTAACCGTAACCACCGCCGTAGTGTCCGTAACTGATTGCTGGTGCAGCGGCATATTTCACAATGGACGGAGCAGGTGCAGCGTACGAGATCGCGGGTGCGGCATATTTAATGGCTGGTGCGGCGTATGAAATGGCTGGGGCAGCAGCGTAGGAGATGGCGGGCGCAGGTGCAGCATATGAAATGGCGGGTGCGGCATATTTGACGACTGGTGCTGCTATGGCCACTGGTGCAGGTGCAGCCACTTTAACAACAGCTGGTGCGGCGTGTTGTATGACCTGGTTAGTGGATAAGAGGAGATTATAAGAAAGGATTTTAAAATTTTGTTTAACAAAAATCCTTAGCTTAAACTATTTAGCGTTTTTTTCTAAGCTTTCCTTCATAGTCTTTTCACTTTTCATTTCACAATTTTTTACAACATTATCCATATCAAAATGAGACCAAAACAGTTTCCTTTCAATATGCTCTTCTCCTACGCCTAGAACTCACCTGGCTGAAGGTGGAGTAACTGGTGGCGGCCGGTGCTGCCTTGACTATAGCAGGCGCAGCAACTACAGCGGGTGCAGCGTATGCTTTGACGACAGGCGCTGGAGCATAACTGATCGCTGGTGCAGCGTAACTAATAGCCGGAGCGGCGTGACCAATGCTAATGGCAGGGGCGGCAGCAGCATAGCTGATGGCTGGAGCGGCATGACCATAACTTAAGGCAGGCGCCGCATACGACTCGTGACCCAAACCACCCAAACCACCCAAACCCAAATATCCAGGAGCAGCGGTGACAGCTGCGATCAGGCTGAGTACGATCTGAGGAATAAGGAATCCAAAGGAAAGGACAGATGGCTTAGAATAAGTTAAATCAAATTTAATACACTTTAACTATTTTTAGCAACAAAATCACTTCATTTTCATTCATTTCACACACACACACGTTATCCTCACCAGATATTTCATACTGTCGTTAAGACGCGTTTTACGTTGAGCGGCGGAGGATTGTGGTAGTCGTTCGAGGTTGGTTTTTTTTTTTTTTTGGGAACTTTGTGTCACTCGCTTGTATTAAAACGCACGCACACGATTTACACTGTGTTCGAATTAAGTGTAGTGGATTGATTGGTGGAGAAGTCGAAGTCAACTGTGGTTTCTGAGCTGACAAGCGGTTACTTTTATAGTTCAACGCGTTCGCGATCGTAAATTAGAAAAATGATTTTCCTCCAAGAGCGCAAAAACATCGCAAATAAAATGTGTGCATTCTTGTACGAATCGAAATGAATGCACGCCAACAAGCAAAGGAAAAAAAAAAGAAAATAAAAAAACAATAAAGTGGGGACAACAAAATAAATAAGAGCGTCGAAAACGCACAATCACCTAAAAGTAAAATGATTAAAAACACTTTTTGTGGCTCTTGCGGGCGCTACACGTTCCGCTGTCTGTGTGTGGAGTTTTGAACGAAAAACTTAAGCGCGAACTTGCAACAGCTGCTGGTGCTAAGTTTTGGTATGATCTGGCGTCGGAGACGATTCTTGTGCTGGCTGTGGCTGAGCAGAGAGTGTAATGATGTTGCCTTCAACGACACAGTTGTTGTTGTTGCAACTTAAGTTGTTAGCATTGGCTAGTTGTTGTTTGTGTTCTGTCCGTTTAGTAATGCGTGCAAATACCAATTGTAGCTGAAATCGTAGCAACATGCCAGCAGCAATAGCCCGCCAGCCCCTTCGGCTGATGTCATAAATGCTTAGCAAGTATAAGTGGCAAAGTTGCACAGTTGCAAGTGGGTTAGGAGCGAAGGGAAGATTTTGAGCGTTATATTACAACGCCTGCTAAGTTTTTGGAGACTTCTTGTCGAAAATGTCGATTGGAATTTAATATGAAAGCTGGGCTGTAACAATGGTCAACGATGTGTAAGCGTTAAAATACCGTTAAAAAAAATATTTAGACTGTTTTTCTCAAATCTTTTCTCATAAATAATTTACATTGTTACTTTAGTTTAAAATTCCAATTATTTATTGGTGTTGACCCAAATTTTCCCAAACAGTATTTGAACATTGTCCGGCTTCTTAGAGCCTCCTTTTTAGGCAATAAAATATACATGTTACGCTGACTGGCATTAATTTAATTTGCTTCTAAATTAATAATTCCGTGTGCTTCCTTATTTGTAGAATAAAGATAAATTCCACGGAAATTCGTGCAAGAAAAGAATAAAAAATAATAATATTAGTAAGAAACCTCAGCAGTTGTGTTGAAAAATTAAAAAAAAAATATATATATCTAGATGGAGTTATATAAGGCTGAAGGTGGATAAGAAAAATCGGTAAATATTCAATATAATAACAGATTTTTAAACTGATTAGATGCGTTTCAGCGCTCCAGCACAAAATAGATTATTGGACACAAGCAAAAGCATAATCGGGGATAAAGGAATAAAATGATGAATGTTCATCTCATTAAGCATGATATAACGAAGAAAACTGCTTATGAATATTGTACTTAAACTTTCAAAATACAAGAAATCAGCTCTGGAGATACAAGCTGCTTCATTCGATTACTTTTGGATACAAAAGATAGTTCTATCGGATGCGATTACAACAGAACCAACCAAGTAGTTTCAACGTTTTAAAAATGGTGATTTCGATGTCGAAGACAAACAAGGTTATGATTTGTATTTGGTGGGATCAGCTCGGTGTGATTTACTACGAGCTCTTAAAACCGGGTGAAACCATCACAGGAGATCGCTACCGAATGCAACTGATGCCCCTTAGTCGTGCGAAAAAAGAAAAGCGGCCACAATATCAAGAGCGACATGACAAAGTCATCCTCGAACACGACAATGCTCGGCCTCACGTCGCAAAAGTGGTCAAAAAGTACCTGGAAACGCTGAAATGGGAAGTCTTGACCCACCCGCCGTATTCCCCAGATGTCGCTCCTTCTGACTTCCACCTATTCCGTTCGATGGTACACGGCCTGGCAGATCAACATTTTCAATCCTTCGAAGAATTGAAAAAATGGATTGCTTCATAGATAGCGTCAAAAGAGGACTCCTTTTTTCGAGCCGGGATCCAAAAATTGCCGGTAAGATGGCAGAAAGTTGTCGCTAGCGAAGGACAATACTTTGAATAATATATCTGTAAGCACTTTTTCGAAATAAAGCTTTTAATTTAGAGAAAAAACGGCGGAAGCAAAGTTGTACACCTGATACTTCCATAATTTTTTATAATAAATTTGATAGTTCGACTCAAATATCGGTGTTGCTTATGAAAAAAAAATGTAAGCAAGGGTTACCGAAGAAGAACTTTTTGCAGTAGTAAACCCACTTTAGCTTTAAAACTATAAAAATATGCAGCATACAATAAAAGCATGTATACGTTTTCTTTTTTTTAAGATATATCCTTCATATACATATGAACACAATGAGCAGATTAAAATGAAAAAATATCCACATATATAAAGCCTTTTTTAGGGAGTAAACGCAAAGGTATTGAACTTTTTTAAGTACGGCTACTATAATTGGCACATTGTTGTTGCGTTGAGTGTCTTAATATTTTTTTCCATTAATACAGGTGCCTACAATTCATTTCAAGTCGCCTCCGAGCTTTTCTTTTTCACTAGAAATATCTCCAGAAGATTGACGTACCGAGAGACCACAATTAGAAAATTAAACGTATTTTTTTTATTACAGAAGTCGAGATCCCTTGCATTGTATAACGCACTACCTTCTTTTTGTTAAATTTTCACATTCAAGTATTAAAATTTCAGTCCATCAAAATTTTCGCTCAGTGTACGAAATGTTATGGGCAAAAATGCGTAACGCAATAGAATCAGTCAGTTTGTTGGGAACAACACAATTAAAAAATGTTTGATCAAACAATTTTTGTGATTTCTACAAACTATTTAAAAAATAACAACACGCATTTGAAAATTGAAAGGATTTTAGGCATCGACGGGTGCAACCAAACCAATTTTGGGTGCGTGTGTGCGGACGCTTTAAGGCACTCGCATAAAAAATGTGCAATTAGATTCTACAAACATACAATGTAACATACGTGTAGTAAAAATGTGTATGTGAGTGAGCAATAGTAAAAAAAAAACGTAGAAATCGAAATGTATAATGAATTGATTTCAGTTTCTGTTGAACAGAATTAAGATGCAAGCTATTACATATACTAATCGCTGAAAAATGCCAAAATCATGTCGTACACCAAACTGGACATCTATAAAGCTACAACAATTCTAATGACGTAAGAATTAATTGACGAGCTTAATTTTTCGTATATTTTATTATGTTATTAATGAAGCTTATATTTTTTGATTTAATCCAGTTAAAAAATTTGCCAAAAATTTGTACAATAAACTCCCATGGGAGCAGATGGAAAATGTGTACCTGAACACGCAGCCAGCAACAACAACAATATATAACTAATGATGTTCAACTTTGAAGGCGCTTAATTATGCCACAAACGCCATTGTCCAGCAGCGTCGCCTGACAGTCTGTTTTGGCGACAATGGTTATGAGTGCAGGTGCTAACTGTTTTTGCTGCTGCTTTCATGAATTCGTATGGACGACAAATCCAATCGGAGTATGATTCAACATGCAGAATAATAAAAAAAGGCCACAACGGAAAAAATGTAAGAAAGCAAGCTTAACAATCGCATAATTCATTCATTCAACACTCCAAAATTATCAAAAAAAAAAAAAAAAAATATTAACAACTATAAAAAGTCGTAATAAAATGGTTGAGTAAGAAAAAATAACTGTCAAGTGTTCGCCAATTGCGTGTAAGTGTATGGCCGAGCAGCGTAGCGTTTTTTTTGCTTTGCTTCTGGCAATTACTGTTAATCGCTGCCAACAACTTAAACAGATAAGTAATAAATAAATGAAGTATTTATGCGTTAATATACTGTGAATTGTGTAGACTAGTATGATATAATGATTAATGGCGAAATATACGCAAATAAAATGCCAGCCATTAGAGTTGGCAATATGAATTTTGTTGATTCGATGAAGCGGATTTAATGATATATCTTTTCTGCTCAGAATACGCAAAGCCAGTTGACTTAAAATCACTTATTAAAAGCATCGCACTAAATTCAGTCAGTAAATAGAATTTTTTTTATTTCAAAAAACATGTTTGCTACATTTAAGTAAAATGATTTATATTTACATACATAAATATGCATGCAATTTTGGCATATTCATACAGATGCTGCGAATTCATTCCTAAAACCAGCAAACCATTTTATTTTAAACTTGCAGACTCGGCCACCCGGCTTCCTCTATCTTGCCCAATTTTTATTCTAATTATTCCAATTAACCCGTCGTTGATTCTTTTCGCCTGGTCATAACCAGGATTTGCTAAACAGCCTACGACACCATGAACTTATTCAAAGAAGCTTTTGGCGGGAATATTATCTCGAGTCGTGGACCATTTTAGCGTTTTAACGCCGCTGGGCTTTTTATTTGTTTGTGGGGTTAGTGTAGTCGGTTTTCCACTCAGATAATTCAGAGACGACTGACGCCTTGGAAGAGAATATTCAGCGTGTTATTCCTAACGCACCAATTTTTATTCTAATTATTCCAATTAACCCGTCGTTGATTCCTTTCTCCTGGTCATAACCAGGAACTAAAATTATTCCATTTAGGCAAACCATCCGAAAATTGAACCATAGCGAACTATGAAGGAGAGGGGTTTAGATGAGTTGGTTTAAGGGGCCTGCAAAGAGGTGGTTAGCGTCTTGTGCGTACTTGTTGCATGCAGGACATACGCTAGGTGTGTCAGAGTCGAGTCTGTATAAGTGGAAGTTAAAATGCTACAATATCCTTCGCCTGCTATAGATGGTAGTTTGATTCCGAAAACGCCATACACAGGGAGAGTTCATAAAGTTGTTGACAGACCCTTGACGAATGGCATTTAAGCTTTTCTGTACGCCGTCCAGTCCCTCCCTCTCTGATGTACCTAGGTGGGGGTTTGGCTTCTAATAAATGTCTGTTGAGGTGCTCCCTACCCAACTCTCAAGACAGCCGATTCTACGCAGCGAAGTTTATCCGGATTTTATCCAGCCAAGAACTAACATCATTCAGCAAGTAACATTAGTTTATGTATATTTTCCCAAATACGTTGGTCTGCTTCCCGTAAAAAGAACTATAAATACAAACGATTTCTTCG